AGGACTAAGCGTGAACCAGGGATACTTACCTTTGGTTGAAATCATTAAGGAGGTTTTGTATATGACGGAGGCAAATGACGGGCACGTTCAAGAAGTGTTTGCGTCGGGGGAAAAGGGCAGCCGGCGTGGGCACGGGATGGATAACCTCAGCAAAGTAAGTGGTTGGTAAGCCTCCGTCGCCTTTCCTTTCATTCTCTTCAACTTCGCTTCATGTTAAGCACGCCTCCGCCCTCCTCTCTCGATCCTATCAACGGGGAATAAAGGCCTTCACCGCATTCCTGCAGCCCTCGGTTTCGATCTACCGCCAGGTAGATATAATTGTATCGCCCTTTTCTATCTTGAGCTGCGCGGTTCTTGGTTGGACGGGGCAAGTTCTTGTTTCGGCGATAAATGGAGAAAAGCGCACTGTTTCTGCAGAAGTGTCGGGTACACGGGGCGCGGGAGGTGTTGTTATAAACTTACGATGCTGACAGCCCCCTCCCCTTGCATCCTTGTTCGCCTCCCGTTTCCATCCAGATCCAAGCAATTTGAACGAAGCCTGCGCGACTGGGCGAAACACGGCAAGGCAAGAGCATTTTTTTCTGGGTGTGAAGAGGCGCAGATAATCTGGTGAAGGGAGTCGAACCTCCAGCGACAGCAACATGAACCCCCCTCCTCTGTGCTCCTCAGAAAAACCATCACTTCGTCTCGCACGGGCTCTACGATACGCGCACGAACCGCCTTGTCCCCGTCAAGAGCGAGAGGGAAATCTTCGATATCCTCGGGCTCGAATATCTGGACCCGACGCTGCGGAATGCTTAGTGTGGTCTGCGGTGTCGCCTGAGTGAGAAGAGGCGCGGGGGGAGGCAACTTTGTCATTGCTCTGCGGCTATCAGCAGCGCATAGTACGGGGTCGGTGGTTGCATCGTGACGGGGAGGAGGGTCTTGAATATAGCTGCACTAAATGTATAAACGAATTACTCCTTTGCTCTAGCTCTTCAAAGAACGGCATTGAGAAGTTCTTTGCCTACCGAACGACTGCGTCGGAGTGCGTCTGCTCTGGGCGAAATTCTCGGATGGAAGCACCCCTAATCGCGACGATAGTCTTCATTTCCATCGGCTGTCAATGGCGCCAAGGGGCAACCTCACAATCCCTGTCCTCCGCCTCTCGTACGTGCATATTTGTGCGTGTCACTTTGCTCCTCATCCTGCAGCAAATATCCCCACACCCCTATGACTAAGCAAGCATCTGTTTTCTCGGGGTGTGTGCGAGTGCGTGTATATCTTCTCGGAAGTTTTGGCGAAGGTCCAACTCCAACATGGAGCGATAATTGAGAAGGGGGGCATGGTTAATCAGAAAATCCGCGAGCAAACAAAGCGAGATATGTAGCCAGGATGGGAGGATGCGAAGGAGGGCAGCGGCATGGCGAGGCAGATGACACTCGGAACGGCAGGATAATGGGCGGCTCCCCCGGAGGCGAACCCATCCCCCGTTCCTGGGGACATTCTATAACAGTCCTGACTACTGAGCGAGGTGCCAGCGCACCGCAAGGGGCGGAGAAGGGGTTCCTTCTCGACAATTCGATTTGGCGCTTCTCAATATTCGTCGATATTTTGCGTTCGAGCGTTTCCATGAAAGCTGAACGGCAGTTTTGCATGACGACGGAATGCAATTAGTTTTACGTTTACTGCGGTTTCGGCTCTCAAGATCACCATCATATGACTGGTGGCAACTAACAAGAGAGATTTCTGCACTCGCCTAGTCGAGTCGTGCATCAAAGGGGGCATTCATAAGTTAAGTTACTCTCACTTATCAACGGGGTAGTAACTCAGTGGTAGAGTGCTCGCTTCGCATGCGAGAAGCCCAGGGTTCAATCCCCTGCTGCTCCATTCTCAATGAACGACTATGAACCTTTTTTGATTCCCTGCTCCGCTGATGATTGCGGGATTGAATTCCAAACACAGTGTCTGGCTCCGGGTTGTTTTTTCCCCATCTCACTACTTGTGGCCCACTCGAGAGTAGATCAAGAAAATGCTTCCCCATGTCCACCAGCTGCTGTGTCAATCGAGCAAAACAATAATGCTGCATGGGGAACACCCGCCCTGGGTTACTAGTTGCTGCAATCTGAGTTTTGTCGGAAGATGTCAACCAGTGGGAAAGATGGAGGGAGGAACGGACACAAAGATCTCTATGGAGTTCGAATAGTAGGTCCAAAGGTGGTTTCGGTTCACTCGTGAGAAATGCTCGTGAACAACAGAATTGAGAGCTGTATCAAAAATCCCAGCAGGCAGTAGCCCGTTGCGCTTGCTCTGTAATGACACTTGGAATTAGAGTGGGCGTCAATCGAGAAAGTAGATATCGCCGGGGATCGGCTTGCTCGATGTGCGTGAGATCTCAATACCTATCGGTAGTTCGCCATCACATCTCGCGCCTGTTTTGTTTGTTTCGATCGATCCCTCTCGGGCTCGTGGCCGACTCGTTGAGTAAGCCGAGGGGATGATTCCGATATCCACTATCTACCCACTTGATCGAGCCATCATGAAGAATGGGGGGTCGGGTGGGGTGGCGAGACGAGAGTCAATACTTGGGGGAGTCGACGTGATCTTGTGCAGAGTGCCCGTTTCACTCTAATCTCAAATGCAAAAATGCAGCTGACATCGTTGCCCGGGCAATAGTTCGTTGTCCGGCTCGCGGACCAAGCTGATGAATCTTCTACCAGAAGTTCCCACTCATGTGGGCTTCGTTCTCCCAACGCTCTTGAGATATAGGGGAGGAAACAGGTCGAAGAGTGGATCGCAGTGGAGAAGGTGGACACCGCTCGTTCCGGGTTTTTGTGATTCTCGGGATTATCATCATCCATTCGGTCTTTCGCTATCACATGTGGCCCCCTCATCTTTTGCCGCATGATATACCGGCGTGCACCCTTCACACCCATAGCGCAAAATGGGGATGCATCCATCCATCATCATTGAATGTATTTTTTTTTGTTGGTTCCCCCTCAACAGTGCTCGTGGCCGACTCGTGACTTCGTGAGTAGGTGGTTCCGACAAAGACAACGAGCTACCCACTCGATCGAGCCCACTGCTCATGGCGGGAGGGGGCGGATTGAGTATATTTTAGGGGAATCGTCGAGAGCGTATGGAAAAGAACACACTTGAAGTTCGTGGCGGCGTGCGCGAGGCCCCTTGGGCGATCCCCAGCTGTGCTCCAATCATGCTGATCTAAGATATCGACGGTTTTTCGTCATACTCGATTTGGTGTTTGCCTCCACATTCCATGAGAACCAGCCCCATCTTCGTGTGCGTGATTGGCGAGTCGCAGAAGACATGGGGAAATCGAAGATTCTTGGGAGAGTGGCATTTTTTTCTGTCAGTTTTTCTCGTGGCCTCCTAGCCCCAACGCGTGGGGTCTGCCCAGCCGCCGAACCCCTGAGCCCCCCCCCCCCCCCCCCCCCCCCCCCCCCCCCCCCCCCCCCCCCCCCC